CGTGCGCATGTGATAAGAAAGTAGATGTTTGTGCGCGCGCGCGCGCGCGTGTGTGTATGTGTATGTGTAAGTGTAAGTGTGTGTGTGTGTGTGTGTGTGTGTGTGTGTGTGTGTGTGTGTGTGTGTGTTTGGCGCGCATGTGTGTGCACATGTGTGCATGTAATGTGTGCGTGAATGTGTGTGTGTGCGTTTGTGTGTGTATGGGTGTGTGTGTGTATGTGTGTGTGTGTGTGTGGGTGTGTGTATCGTGTGGGTGTGTGTATCGTGTGGGTGAATATTGCTTGTACATGCATTTATGTAAAGCGCCTAGAGCATTATAGAAATGATCTTTATTATTATCATTATTATTATTATCTTCTTGTTTTGTAATCATCAGCAAGGTTATTTTTTCAAAAACTATGACGTCACCAGAACGTGTGATGGGATGACCCCACACTTAGGTATAGTTAATGTGGGCACTACAAGAAATACAATAATTATGAAGACAGAGAGACAGATCCGACAGCGCTCTCGATTTAGGCGAATAACTCCAGCTCTATGCATTACACTATGTGGTAAAAACCAATCTTACACGACTGCACGGGAGTCTGTTCCTTAAAACTTTTAATTAATATCCGAAATGGAGGACTTTGAGTCCTAAACCCTTAGATTTTTAATGGTGAGCTAAAATAGTCCGAGTAGTAATGTACTACAAAGAGATAGGCTACACTTGACGTGAGAGATAGCGAAGGGGGGGGGGGGGAGAAGGAAGAAGAAGAAGAAGAAGAAGAAGAAGAAGAAGAAGAAGAAGAAGAAGAAGAAGAAGAAGAAGAAGAAGAAGAAGAAGAAGAAGAAGAAGAAGAAGAAGAAGAAGAAGAAGAAGAAGAAGAAGAAGAAGAAGAAGAAGAAGAAGAAAGAGGAGGAGGAGGAGGAGGTATTTATTATTTTTAGTAAAGGTTTTACGGCGCTTGCAGCTGCGTAAGGTCATATGAGCGCCAGAAGATAATTATTAGAGGTGTTAAGAGTAACTACCATAAAAAAAAGAAGAATAAGGAGAGATACGATAGGTGTTTGATAGGAAAGAAGGAACAAACCACACCAGAGCACCCGCCAACCACCCATGCTAATCCTCTGTATTCACCAAAAAAGCAATGTGAGCCTAGACAGAGGATTTTTTGTTTTAATTATTATTACATCAAGATATTTCAATGAAAAAAACCCAAAGACAAATGCTGTAGTATTACATTTTTGTTTGGTTGCTGGCCTGCAAAAAAGCTACGCGTTAAGTTTCTTGGGCATAGTTAACCGTAATAAATTAGCTAGATTTTATTTAGTGGTCAAAATTAAATAAAATAATAGTGTCTGAGTGTCTGTATCGATGCCAAAGAAATATAAGAATTGTTCCCGTTCAAATCTTTCATTGATCATCGATCATGCACGACCAAAATATGAAGACAGCCGCCTGAATAAAGATATGAACTATATAGACTGATCTAAGTCTATGGCAAATATTTACGCGCAAAAAGGAGAATAAAAACGGCACTAGAGTTTGATTGGTCACTTGTTTTGAGGTCCCTTTCGTTGTTTTTTTCTTTTGCAAAAATAGCGCTAGTTGAATAAAGCTTTGTTTGTGAAACAAATCCCAAAGCAAGTATAAAAAATAATAATATAATAAACCGGGCAGCAAAAAAAGAAAGAAAAAAAGAAGGATATTCAACAATAGCAGTAAGACAAAATAGTACCCCTTTCCAAATCTGAGCTAGAAAAACAAATAAATAAAAACACGTTGAAGGAATGCAGAGACGACAAAATTGGGAACCCAAGGGCTATTTATAGACCATTTGTGAAAGACAAGAGTTGGCTTAATTATTTCAACCGTTTAGAAGATAGAGTCAAGTCTCTGCAGCAGTGTTGTGAAGCAAAGAGATTCCAATTTTTCCCCCATTAAGCAACAGACCTACATTTCTAGCTTTGACCGTAACATTCTCTACATTTGGGATTTTTTATCGGGAAAGCGGTCGGTCCCAGTTTGTTTGAAAGAGAATTACCCCAATTTGACTGTGGTATTTGACTCATTTTTTTGTTTGGTCTTTATGATATCTCTCTTCTCTTAAGATAGTCTTTATCTTTACACTTTTTCTGACAAAGTGAACTTGATCTTAAGGTGGGAAGAGTGACTTGATAGTGTTAAATCTATTGAAACGTTGAAAGAAAGGAGTGACGCGGACAGCCTCCATCGCGGCCATTTTTGACTGACGGCGAGTGATTGTCGACGAGCTAGCTCTCGTAAAAAGCTTAATATTTACCGACATTTTGGGTTTTGTGAAAGAATGATAACGTACCACGCAAGCCCACCATTAAAACTTACAATATTCAAAATAAACGAATGTTTTCTATCAATGATCTTTGTGAAATTGTCCAATTTCCACGGTTGTAATTTGACGACGCCGTAAGAAGTGTGCTGCGACACGTGGCAAAACAATAGAAAAACAACATTTCTACAAAATGCAAAGACACAAATTCTCTGAGAACATCAGCAAAAATAAGTTTTCTATCTTGAGAAGGGAAAATAGGAGCGATGTACATCTCGTAAACGCATGCATTTTAATTTCAAGTGATGTCGATGTGACAGCGAGCGCATGTTTTATCGATAGAAAAATTTGATTTTTGCACCGCACACTACACAATTTGCATAAAAAGGGGTAACAATTTCTTGGTTAACCATTTATCTAGCCTTGAATGACTACGAACGAAACATTCAGTTAACTGCATTAAGTTGTAGCTCGGAGATCTACATGTTCTTGCACAGATTCGCACAGCCGAACGAAATAGACGACATCGGCGCAGCAAAAAAAAAATATCGTGACGTAGGTGCTCTCTCGGACGTCCGCGCGAAATGGTCATATAGCAAGCGCTCGCCGTGATCTGTCAGTTCAGAATCAGCACTCGTTGCGAAGTGACCACTCTCTTTTTTCATTTTCCGCCCTCGTCTTCGTTCACATTTTCACTCACAATGTCTGACGCTCCAGCTGCTGCCCCAGCCAAGGCTACCCCCAAGAAGAAGGCTCCCGCCAAGCCTAAAGCCCCCGCCGCTCACCCTCAGTACAAGGTGATGGTCGCTGCCGCCATCTCTGCACTGAAGGAGCGCGGTGGCTCTTCCCGCCAGGCCATCCTCAAGTACATCATGGCCAACTACAAGGTCGGTGATAACCCCACTGCCATCAACGCTCGTCTCAAGACTGCCCTCAAGGCCGGCGTCAAGTCTGGAACCCTGAAGCAAGCTAAGGGAACTGGCGCTGCCGGCTCTTTCCGTTTGGGAGAGAAGAAAGTGGAGAAAAAACCCGCCAAGAAAGTTGCCAAGAAACCCAAGTCCCCCAAGAAGGCGGCCAAGCCCAAGAAAGCCGCTGCCAAGAAGCCAAAATCTCCCAAGAAGGCCGCCGCCAAGAAACCTGCTGCCAAAAAAGCCGCTGCCAAACCCAAGAAGACCAAGAGCCCTGCCAAGAAAGCCGCCAAGCCCAAGGCTGCTGCCAAAAAGCCAGCGGCAAAGAAGGCTGCTGCCAAGCCCAAGAAGGCTGCTGCCAAGAAGTAAGCAGCTGGTTTTCCCACATCCAGCAACCTCACAATACGGTCCTTTTCAGGACCACCCCCATTCGTCCAGATGGGTTGTATCTTCGATCCAAGTTGAAACCATTTCTTGATCATCTTAATGCTGCTCTATACTAGTACGCGATCTACCTTTCTTTATCTGCCCTGAAACCTTTCCTAGTCTTTTCCATTTCCTGATCTTAAGTTAATTATACTTCACAGACAGTTTACTACATGGCCAGTGACCGACTTCCATAGCCATGGCTGCCCGTCAGTTCATATTCGTGATGTGTTCACCTCTATTTCAAAGGTCCCAGGTTTTGAATCCGGGTAGCGACCTAAAATAACATTGTTCTAAAATTAATATTGTCTCCTTTCACCTCTAGTACTGCTATTGTAATGTCTGCTTTCGTCTCCACTTCGCCCCCCGGCTCTTTCTGCAGCCTTTCTACTGCATCTCCTTGGCTCCTTGCTGCTGTCTTTCAGCTACATACCCCTCCGATCTTCTGGCAGTAGTATGTAGTAGGAAAGATCTCTAATCTCCACACTTAGCCTTCTCGGACAAGGACGGAAAATTTCTGAGGTCTCGGGCGCGATCCCTTGGTCTAAAATCGTAGAAGTAGAAGGCTTCGGCCGCCACCAGGGCAAATTTCAACAACAAAAATTGTCGACTGAAACCACGTTTAATGCGTCCAGCGCGCCCATGTCATGATGTGGTACACATCACATCATGTATACAATTAGATCTAGCTCTAAGCCAGTTTTGCGAGCACCGTAAAACACTTGCGGCCCCACCCCCCCCCCCCCCCCCAAAAAAAAAAAAAAAATAAAAAAATTGTTTCTCGGGAAAGAAAAGAGCCCGAGCCGAGAGTCGATGGAACCCCCGACAGTCGGTTGACGAAAGAGGAACCGTTCACAAATACCATGTAAAAGAATCTATGGCACAAATAGAAGCTCTACAAATTTGACCCTAATGTCGATTTTTGGCCAATATCTCTCATAGCATCTGCGTTTGTCGCGGCCGCGATTTTGTCATTTTTTGGTCCGCGAATCGCGGCCGCTATTTTTTGCATTAAAATCGAAAAAAAAAACGGGGTTTAAAAAAAACGAAAAAAAAAAAAGAAACTGAACTTCTTTACTTACTTTTAGAAAGAAGGTTTATTTTCACCCCCATTTCACTTCTTCTCTTTCTTACATGTACTTGTTGACCCCACGTTCATTTGTTATTTTCATGTGAAAAAAAGTCTTGTACAACATAACATATTATTTATATATATATGGCTGTTTTATTTTTCTCTCTTTGTTGTGTTTTAATTTGCTGGTGGGTTATTTTCTTTTTTTTTTGTTACTGTTCTGATACCGGTATGTTTTCTATTTTTTGTGTTTATCGTAATGTCAATATAATTTAATTTGATGGTGCTCCTACCTTTTAATTTAAAAAAATAATAAATGCGTTATGTGAGAGCGTGTTTCCATCAAAACCGAATACATCATGTAGCCTACATGTTACTGACACTGGCAGGCCCATTGTGTGTGATTCCGTATATTAATTAATTATAATTCACATGTAATATTCCGTACTTTTTCTTGCATCCCATCAGTTTTTCTTTTTCGGGTACTGTGGTCCATAATATATGTACTGTGGCCCTTCAACATGCAGATGGTCTTTCAAAATGGTAATCAGATTCCGAATATTGATCTGCTCAAATTAATTTGCCTTCAGACAGGATACACGATAATGAACGGCAAAACATCTTGAGGTCTCAATGATGTCTTTTTTTTTTTAAAGATTCAACTTCTAATGTAACAGAACATGGTGGCTTCTTGGCAATTTTGAAGTCACATAAAAACAACCAAGAAAAAAAACAACTCTCTTTATTGAGTCCTGACGTACTTGGCTCTCGGCTCAAACGCGAATGACATTATAGGTCTCTATGACTTTGCTTGACTGCAAAGTTTTCTTTTCAGACCATAAAACAATCAGTGGGAGCTAAATAGGAACTCTTGGAGACTTAATCGAAGTTTGCGTTTCAGCCTGTTAAGCTTCCTGGACTGACTCTAAGTCTTTCTATGTTTTGCAAAAAGATGTTGCACTTATTTAAGATCGGTGATACGAAATGTGCACTCGGTGCCCTATACCATTCACACCTTGTTGTGTCAATTGCACAAGGGGAAATTCTTTAGAGGGAAATTACACAGTAAACAAACATCCACTGAAAATTAAAAGCTCCGGCTGAGGATATGAGAAAACGAATTCTTAATACATTGGCTTCCCATACTTTTACATAAAAAGCTCTGATACCGATGACAATTACATAATTTTCGGAAAAATCCGTACAAATTATGAAAACATTCTCGTGTCAATAAGCAAGTAGATCTATATGATAAACCATTGGTCGTAATATAAATTTTGCTTTTTTTGGACATCTTTTAAAGCTTTTTAAAACAATTTCCTCTACGATTTCGAAAGCCGATTTTTTAAAATATAATATGTTATTGTACTCGCAATTTTATTTGTCGAACCATATATTATAAGTTTCATTTTTGTTACAATTTTTTAGGGCTACCCATCTTTCTTCCATTAATTCGGCTATCAGAACTCCCAACAACGAAGCGTAGATAAATCCTTATATATAACACACAGCGTTTTATTTAGCACTGGCGCTAAACGCAATGTGGCATTTCATTTAGCACTGAAGCTAATCGCAACTCGATCGGCATCGCAATGCAAATAGGCACTTATTCCTATTTAGAAATGTATACTGAATGCTTACTTCTTGCTTATATAATAAACTTTCAACTCCAAATTTCCTTTTTAACAAACAATGATAATAGAAAAGGTATTTTGCAACACTTGACTAGCATCGTATTGCGTGGAGTTCACGCAAGTAAAAGCTATTAATTGTCACTGTAAATTAAAATATTATGTGCGAAATTGGATAAACACGTAAGTTGGGAGCTCTTATTTCTCCGGTCTATTACAAAGCTAACTGCTAAAACTGTGGTAGATCTATGCTCTTCACATTTCACACGTCACACTTGTTTGATCGATGCGGCTCATCAGTTCTTTGTTTACAAAATCAATGGGTGATCTCTATCCTCATACTACATTCTGCACTGTCCAATTTGGAGCACGAAATGAATATTTTGTCGGTTTATCCTCATTGAAATGTTTATTTGCTGATCAGAATATTACTGTGCAAAGTTTGGAGAGTTTGGAGGAGTTCATGTGTGCTGATGTTTGATTATGATTCAATCAATAATAATTTTGTAATTGTTCCAAGTAATTAATACCGGGACACTTGGGGGGCAGTTTGTGATCTGATAGATCTAGATATCTAGATCTAGATCTCTAGATATAATAAATGTCTAGATCTAGATCTAGTGTGTTAAAACCTGGAAAAACTGGTAAAGGACTCAGTCTCAACTTGCCATCATAGATATATATATAATTTTACTTTCAATTTGGTGCAGTGTAGAAGTAGAGAAGGGTCACTAAGATCCCATAAAGCTAAACTTTCACTGAGGTGACAGTGCCAAACTAATCTAGATCTGGATCTAGTCGGGCCTAGAATCCTCGGTCTAGATCTAGTGAGAGTCTAGAGGCTAGATCTAGGACTTAAATTTAAATTGTTGTAGATCTACAAGCTTGTGGAATTTGTGAATAACGTCCTTAAACTCTGAATTGACCAATGGTAGTCGTTGATTCAGTAGGCGGCAGTTTTGCAAAATTTAAGAAAGTAGGCCTAATTTAAGGTTGTTTCCTTTTGGACATTCACAGTTGAGAGCGATCTAGATCTAGATCTAGATATCTAGCTGTCTTCAAATTCAAAGGTAGTGTCAACATTGTAATTAATAAAAATGGCTGACATTTCCAACTCTGAAAAACAAATGATGAATGTCAATTTCGAGGAAGACACTGTGAATAGTCTTTTTTCTGGAGAAGGCATGAATCTGAGCATTGATGGCATCGTTTTTCAAGGTGCACCAAGTAATTCTAGTTCTAGTTCTCATGCTCTAAGGGAAGATGTGAAACATGACATTACAAGTGGAGAAAATTACTCTGAAGATAGGAGCAGTTCTCTGTTCTTGTTTGACCTCAAAGAACAAAAACCTGTTGTAAAAGTAAAAGACGTCCATCTTCCATTGATAAAAGAAGAGTCTGGTTTTGAATGGCCGTATGATGTCAAAGTCGAGGGAAAAAACGAACCAGACATTGAAAACGGAAGTTTCGCAGTAAAAGATGAGCCTATTTATTTGTTTGGGGAGGAGGAAGAGATAAAACCTGTCATAGTCATGAAACCAGAGTGCTTCACAGATATTGGTATGGTAAAAACTGAACCACATTTTGAATATTTTCCTGACATTGATGATGAAGTGAAACCAAAAGTGGAGACTTTTGGGAAAGAGGAAGTGCCTGAATGGGAGGGTCCAGACTTTGGAGAGATGGGAAAGACAGAAGGACAAGTGGGAGATGTGGAGGAGCCCATGTTCGTTGAGGATCACATGAGTCAGGCTGGAAGGCTACAGCAGCAAATCTCCACTGAAAGGGGTTTGTCTATGGCGCAGAGTTCCAACCCAGACACAGATGTTGTTGCATCCACTCACCAAACTTCAACTTTCTCTGCTGATCCAATTCTTCTGGAATGTAATGTCTCAAATTCTGGCTTTAGGGTCAAGAATAAAGATTCAGGTTTCAACTTTTCTTGTGCTGTGTCTATTTCTGGTTCTGTAAATTTTTCTGAGTCTCCTTCTAGTACCACACAGCCAAAAGTGTACAAAGAAACAGATTCTGGTCATTCAGATAATCCCAGGCTTACAGTTAGGGAAAATACTTACTCAGAAGAAACACCTCTCCAGTGTAAAGTTTGTGGTGAACAGTTTACACAAAGTGATAACCTACTGAGACATAAAGAAATACACACTGGAAAAAAGCTGTACAAGTGTGAAGTTTGTGGTGCAACATTTGCAAAGAGTGACAGCCTTCAGAGACATAAAAGAACACACATGGGAGAAAAATCTGACAGTGAATTTTGTGGTGCGACATTTGCACAGACGGGTGCCATGCGGAGACATAGAAAAATACACACTGGAGAAAAGTCTTACGAGTGTGAAATTTGTGGTGTTATGTTTACTCGAATCAGTGTCTTAAAGAGTCACCAAAGAGCACACAGAGGAGAAAAACCTTACGAGAGTGAAGTTTGTGGTGAAAAATTTACGAAAAGTGAAACCCTACTGGGACATAAGGCACCCCCAGGTAAAAAGGTTTACAAGTGTGAAGTTTGTGGTGCTACTTTTGCACAAATGGGTGTTCTGCAGAGACACATGAAAGCTCACGTAAGAGGAAAGCCCTACAAGTGTGAAGTTTGTGGGGTAATGTTTACAAAAGCGAGTGTCTTGAAGAGTCACCAAAGAAGACACACAAGGGAAAAGCAGTGTGAAGTTGGTGAAAAGTTTACAAAAAGAGGTAATCTACTGAAACATAAAAGAACATATACAGAAGAAAAACCTTACTTGTGTGAAGTTTGTGGTGAAAGGTTTACAAAAAGTGATAGCCTACTGAGACATAAATTAACACACAGTGGAGAAAAACCTCAATGTGAAAATTGTGGTGCGACTTTTGCAGAGATTGATAGCCTTCACAGACACTTGAAAAAAGCACACACCAATGAAAAACCTCACAAATGTGAACTTTGTGGTGCAACATTTGCAGAGAGTGACAATCTTCACAGACACAAAAGAACACACTTGGAAAAAAAATCTTACAAATGCGAATTTTGTGGTGCGACATTTGAACAGATGGGTGTCCTGCAGAGACACATGAAAGTACACGTTAGAGGAAGGCGCTTTAAGTGTGAAGTTTGTGGCGCAATGTTTACACTAGCCTGTGTTTTGAAGAGTCACCAAAGAGCACACACAGGAGAAAGGCCTTACAAGTGTGAAGTTTGTGGTGAAAAGTTTACACAACCCAGTGTCCTGAAGAGTCACCAAAGATTACACACGGGAGAAAAGCCTTACAAGTGTGAAGTTTGTGGTAAAAGGTTTACACACAGTTGTGGCCTGCTAATACATAAGACAACACACACGGAAGAAAAACCTTGGAAGTGTGAAGTTTGTGATAAAAGGTTTGTAACACGTCGTTGCCTACAGGTTCATAAAAGGACACACACAAAAGAAAAACCTTACAAGTGTGAAGTTTGTGGTGGAGCATTTTCACATCTCTCGACCTTGAAGAGTCACAAAAAAATTCACACAGGAGAAAAACCCTACAAATGTGAAATTTGTAGAAGAGCATTTAGGGAAAGTAGCTGCCTACAGAAACATAAAAGAAGAGTACACACAGGAGAAAGGGGTTACAAGTGTGAAGCTTGTGGCAAAATGTTTTTATTTGCCAGTGACTTGAAGAGTCACGTACGAACACACACAGGAGAAAAGCCTTACAATTGTGAAGTTTGTGGTAAAAGGTTTGCACATAGTAGTGGCCTTTTAGTGCATAAAAGAATACACACAGGAGAAAAACCTTTCAAGTGCGAAATTTGTGGTAAAACGTTTAGTAGAAGTGGAAGTCTAGTAAGACATAAAATAACACACACAGGAGAAAAACCATACCAGTGTGAAATTTGTGGCAAAAGATTTACAAGAGCTTCTCACCGAGTAGAACATATGACGAGAAAACACTGGAGAAAAACCTTGCAAGTGTGAAGTTTGTGGTGAAAGGATTTTTCCCAAAGTGGTAACATACTTGGTGGTAAAAAACTACCCAAGACCTGACAAGTATGGAGTTTATTTAAAGTGAAACATGTAAATTTACAAGAAGTTACCTGTACTGGTACAAAATAACACACAAAGGAGCAAAACCTGACACGTGTGGAGTTTATGGTGAAACATGAATTACAAGAAGTTGTCTCTATTGGTACAAAGATGATACTTTAAAATTTCCCTCTTGGATAATGAAGTCTTATCTATCTTATCTTTTAAAAAAGTATACACAGGAGGAAAACTTGAAAGTGACAAGCATGAAGTTTGTGGAGAAAGCTTTACAGATAATGGAAATGGAAGCCTAAGTTACGGGTAAATACAAGAACACACAATACGGGAAACACTTTACAAGGGTGAAGTTTGTGGTAAAAGATTTACACATTTTGTGTGTGAAAGTTTACACAAAACAGTAACTTGAGGAGTCACAAGTGCCACCTACACACATAAAAGAAACACAGTGTAGAAAAACCCAATACTACT